AAAACTTCATTAAACTTCAAAATTTGTTTTCCAACATTAATTGAGATTAACATTTTTTACTCTCTTGTATAGGGTGTTTGTGAACCGAAGTTTAGCCATGGAGAAAATAAAGTGTTTTGGTTTTGATATGGATTACACCCTTGCTGGTGAGTAGCAATTTCTGGTTGCTTAAGAAATGCTGCTTTGAGTATAACACAATGGGTCTGCAGTAGGCAATTCAATACATACTTGTGGATTTAATTACATATTTGACTTCCAGAAACTCTTATTATCAAGCTGCTTCTGCTGAGATTTGTGAATATTGAAGTTATCAAATATCCTTGAGATTTGCTTCATGAGTTTGTATAGATAGGTAGAATAAGTACTGAATTATATTATTTTTGAGACCCTGATAAGAAACAATATGGTAAAATCATACCTTAATGGATATATTTGGGCATTTTTGACTTTTACTCTATTATACTGTTGTTTAGGGATAAAATTTTGTATCTCTCAGTCTGCCACAAGGTAAATTTTTATCAGCTAAAAATTTTAACATGTTATTAGGACAAATGGACAATGTCATTTTCCATTGAAATGATTGTACACATAATATGTAAAAGGTGTTTTAGAAACTAGAGCTATTGGTTTTGTTCGTTATCACATAGTCCTTAAACACCAGCACTGTGCTATTTTTCCCCTCTTTGAGATGTATTTGAAATAATCAATGTATTAGTCAATGGTTATAACATCTTTTCGGAACTTACTAAGTAAAATATTTTCAGTCTGGTGAAAATGTCATTTAAGAGGTGGTAGGGATGAGGGATAAAGTTGACCACTTGTGCAGGTGTGCATGTGTGTTTGCACACGTGTGTGCAACTGTGACAATCAGAAAATAATCTTTTAGAAATTGTCTCTAAAAATTTTTGTCTTTACACAAAAATCTTAAAATGCATAAAATCACTTATCTTCAGAAAGTATTTATATAAATAGCAGTGTTAGAAAACCAACTTCCATCTCAAATTAAACAAATCTCAATTTGATGTTCAATTTAGACCACAGATGTAAATGAATAATATAAACGTACAAAAGTGAACACATGCAGGTACTTGCCACATAGATGTGGCCATGATTTTTCACCAATATTAAAAATATACATATGTAGCATATTTGATTTGAATTTTTCGTTTCCTTCCATACTCTTTGCCATTCGTTTTTCTATTGCCTTAAAGTTGTTTTTGCAGCATTTTAATTATTTTATATTTTCCTAATTGGATACAGGCACTTTTAGGAGCACTTGTCAGAAAGCATTTGAAAGCACTGTACTTTCTTAGTGTATATCTTGCTATTTGAATGGGGAGAAAAATCTCTCCTTTCAAGAATTTTAGCTCTCAAGGGAAAGGATGGTGAAATGATTTGACAGCTCTAAGAGTTACTACCTTAAGCAGAAACAGAAGTTAATGGGATCAAAAAGTAACAACCTTTTCCCCCTTGATTATTAAGACAGTGCCATTATATTGAAATAGTTCAATTCAATAAGTATTTATTGAGAGTCTGTAATGCACCTGGCACATTTTGTTATTCAGTATTGAGATAATTAGATCTTTCCACAGAATAATGAAAAAATGAACTCTCCTGTGTATTGAAAAAGTCACTGAATCTTAGTCTTTTAACTTTAATGATACCTTATGATTTCTGCTTTTTATTTTCTTTTTTGTGTTTTTGTAACACCACTTCATATTTTAATGCTTTCTCCTAGTCCAGATACTAATATTCTTTGTGTATATATCATAGTAACTGTTAACATTTATTATCTGCTTATTATTTGCCAGGCTCTGTTCCAGGTCGTTTACATAGATATATTGTTTAATACATGGGTTATCTTATTTATGTCTCTTATTTAATATTTATAGAAACCCTACGAGGCAGATACTACTACTACTACCATCTCCACTTACAGATAACGCTGAGACATTAAGCACTTACTTTGTCCGAGGACATTTAGCTATGATATAGCTGAACCAAGAGTCAAACCCTATGCATA